CTCGATTTGGAGCACTAGCCTGGACTCTGACCACGCACTTGTTTGCGCGGATCTGCCGGTGCGTTTCGGTGGACGTCCGCACCGGCGCTATGAGCGCATAGATACTTGCCAACTGGCGAAGACATGTGTTCAGAATGCAAATCAAAATACGCTGGCATCTGACCTCAGTAAACGGTTACTGAACACAGTTGAAGATCACTGGTCGCACATTCACCAGACGTTATTAGCAGCAAGCATATCTTCATGTGACATCAAATTGCCAATCTATACATTAGGTCTCCACTCAGTCTCTAGTACTTTTGGTCGCTCGCCGATGTGTTCCGGCTGCAAGCTAATAAAATCAGACTCGCAAAGTTCATAGTGCAAAACTGCGTTCTAGCCTGAAAAAAGACCGCGAAGCCTGCTGGTCTTATTGCGCCTCAGAGACGGAGAGAGCCGTTGCCCTTGGTAACCGCCGGAAGTTATTCCGTCTGACACGAGAAATGGGCAGCAGGAGACCTGATGTTAGCAAGACCATATGTGACGAGAGTGGACAACCGCTCCACAGCTTGTCATAGCGCCTGGAATGTTAACCGAACACTTTGAGAAACAGCTCAATCAGTCAGAATTGCCAGCCTCTCCATCGGCCAATGATCGCCATGCTCCTTGGGATGTCCCCTTGGATCCGCTCTCACGCGCAGAACTCGAACGTGAGATAAGGCGACTGAAGTTGAGCAAGGCTGCTGAACCAGATGAGCTTCATCCAGCCCTCTTCAGAATTTTGGGACCTGCTCTTTTGGACGATTTACATAAGTTAATAGTGAATCTATGGGAGCAAGAAACTGTCTCTCTAGACTTGAGGCGCTCCATTCTTGTCCCAATCTTCAAGCGAGCTCTCGTTCCGAACGCGGCCATCATAGAGGAATAAATCTGATCTCCATTGCCACTAAGTTACTTGCTTCTGTCGTTTTCCATAGACTGACTGGCATCTGTGAAAGCCAGTTTCGTGAGGAGCAGGCCGAGTTTCGTTGAAATCGAGGCTGCATTGTCCATATATTCATGTCAGTTGTTGGACCACCCCCATGTTTATTGGCGACCCATCGTAGTCGTGTTCCTAGACATTAATGGATCTTTGATTCTATTGTTCGATGTGTCTTTTAGGACTAGCTACTGAGTGGAGGTGTGCCTGATGAATTCGTAAGAATGCTGTACGCGCATAGTTCGGGTAGAGTGATGGTTTCCGGCAAACTTTCGCCACCATTCAATATATCCGGCGATGAGACAAGATTGGTCACTGTCACCATTCCTCTTCATTTTCGCCATTAATGAAGTCACGGCAACAGCGTTCGCCGGGCACGACTTAGACGGTGTGGAGCTGTTCCCACATGAACGACTTCTCGACTAGGAGTATGCCGACGACATTGCGCTCTTCTGTGACATTTCCAGAACGTACTAAATTGCACTGGATAAATTAGCTCTGGCTGCCAGTTATTTCAGGCTATGCTTTACTCCATCGAAATGCATAGTCATTTTCCAAGGTTGGCTGAGACCCACCCCTGCGCCGACTCTTGGTAGTGACCAACTAGAAGTCTTCTAGAAATTTAAATATCTGGGCAGCTATGTTAGCGCCCGTGGGATCGAGAATGAGGTCACATACCGTATAGCAGAATCTCGAGGCGCCTTTGCCAATCTCCGCCACCTGTGACGCCGGCGTGACATTACTCTAGCTCTGAAGTGCACATTTTCCAATGCAGCCGTTCGTTCAACCCTCTTATCCGCTTGCGAAACCTGGTCCATCATGTTGATATACTTAAAGAGCTTTGTTACAATCGACCATCGCTGCCTTCGCAACATAGTTCATGTCTGGTGCGCACACCGCCTGAGCAATGGGCGTGTTCTGCGTCGTGCATTTGGTGCACGAAGAGCGAGTGAACCGCTTAGCATCATTATCTCACGCACCAGGCTTCAGTGTCTGAACCACTTTTTTGCGCATGCCAGCACACCGACTCCCGCGACCTGCGTTGTTTGCCCGCCGATGGTATGGATAGAAGTGGAGGAGCGGTGGCCGATCGATGACTTGGTCAAGAGGTATGAAGTCCTTCACTTCGAACGGCGTCGGTTAGTGTTTCCCGACTACCGGGCTAGAGTCCGAAGCATAATGCAATGTTTGGTTGGATTCATTTGTTGAAATGGCGTCGAGCTGGCCTGTAATGGTGTTTATGTTGTGAGCTTCATCGTCCTTTCCCTCCCCTTTAGCTTCCCTCTTTAACAACGATCTCCAAACCCCATTCATGTAACATTTGGCATTATGTTCATTTTTTAGCTTCTTTTAATTCTGTATTGTTTAATCTCTTTTGTATTGCAACACAGCTGTTGTGTGCTTCTCACTGTCGACGAACATTGATAATGACGATGAGCATGTCGTTACCAGGCTCATCCCGAATGTACGAAGCTTGCCGTACGACTACCCGTGCGAGAAACTAAAACTGTACCCCGTGACCTACCCTAAGGTACAGGTCGAACTGATCGTGAACAACCGCATTCGCGATGATTTTCCCATGTTTAGGCCGCTGCTCCATCTGCGAGCGTCGCTTATTACACGCTGACGCCGGTACAAGCTTGTGGGGTCGAATTTGATCGAGTTCCCCATCGTTTCTACTCCGAACTGAGAGTGGTACATGTTTTGTGCAGCCTGCCAGAACATATTGTGTTTCCTGAATCTATGCAATAAATCGGAATACCTGTAGCTCGGGTTGTCTGTTCAGATTTTTGTCTGTTCTCCGAGCTGAACAGTTTCGTTGCAGACGTTTCATCACCAATCGAAGCATGATTCTCTACGGACAATTCACTATACCTGCGCATTGATTCAGATCAGGTCTACCACCAACGGCTCATTCACTACATAAGTCTAAAAGAGGCGGCGATTTAACTACGAACTAACATTGGTCACGGAACGTGAATCGAGTTGGTCAATTTCAAACGCCACTCGCTTGTCGGTCAAGGGCAGACAAACCACTCAGTTTCTGTACTACGCACTAATGAAGTCACCTCGATTGGTGGTAAAACGCCTACAACGAAACTGTGCATCTCGGAGAACAGTTCAAAACCTGAGGTCAAATTTTGGTTCAGAGAACGATTACTCATTACCATTATCATCTCACATTTGTGAGCCCTGTGGTACTGAGTCAGACATTTGTATTTTACAGAGTAACTTGAGTAACAACCAGAGTATTAACATGTGACAGATACTTTTGTAACATTCTATCATTTGCCGGGATTGTATGTGTTTAACTTTTTACTTGCTCCATCAATACAGTGTTCACCAAGTAACTTGTTAGATTATGTGCCGACCCACTTTTCTAGCTAACTCTTATCTCTTGTACTTACAGAGTAAGATGTTGCACGCATCAATAGGGCTCGCATGACTTTTTTTAGAACCTTAATCTTTTATGACAGTGATGCAATGTTATTTCGCAGGTTACGCGTGAGGTGCGTCTCGCCGCAGTATAGACGGGACCACTCTAGGGAGCAGAGAAACGGTCATCTTCTGCTTAGTACATTACGGGATTGGTCTCATGTAACCGGCGGATAGCGAAAAGGGCAGTGCGTCTGCCTTGCGACCTGGACGTCACTGGTTCCAGCCGGCATAGGGGACCGGGCGAACCTCGCATTACCCTTCAAACACGACCGGTGATGGTTCCGTGGCAGCTAGCCATCGGTATGGTATGCTCTTTTTCTCTACGTGTGACAAATTAAGCCTTCAAAGTACAACTCATCCGGTGTAATAGCTGGTTTAGTAGTATTGAAGTTCACTGGTTAGTTTTTAGCAACCGACACCCTAGCACAGCCATTCATTCAAAACAGGACAGGACCCAGGAACGCAATAGGCACTCGCCTAACGCATCAGCCAACGGAAAAATGGGACGCAACTTGACTGCGAATAACCGAGCGAATAAACGTTCAACAAGAAGCATAGCCAATTACAACTTGCCATTCAATGGATCGGCGGCAGTGTTTCAGGACGTGGTGGGTTTTCGCCTGGCAAGCGTTCTCCCTATAAAAAGCCACAAATGTCCGTTTAACAACACTGCAACGTGGCAAATGTGACTCGCCACCGATTAAAGTCACAGCCCATAACTTCACACTGGCAGGTCAACTAGCGTCACCATTTTAGATATGTTCGTTACACTGGAACTTCTACATCTGCATATACTGTCGTCTCTTCTTGCTACGATTTCACGCATATATTGTCGTCTCTTTACTTTCTACGATATCACCGTTGATCCTTGCGTTACGTACGCACGAACTCAGTATATTGTCATGCTGCCGTGCGGTTCACTTATCTTCTAATGGATCATTCAGGATTCTTAATCTATTATTAGCTGAGGTATGACTGCAATATATGGCAGACCGATTATGCCCTAACAAACGGGTCCCGATCTCACGACAGCCCAATTATTGTTTCACATTTCCACCATTGTACAGTTCCAATCATGAAAGTATGAACAATTTTCTACTGTCGCTGTTACAATTGCCATAAAATGTCTGTACAGTTGCACCTACCTGATCATGCCTCCATGGGCGTGCCTCGCATAGTCGAGAATAAAATTATTTATTTATTTATGAAGTATCCATTGAGCCAGAGCTAACCAAGCTAGACAGGTCAACATTTTCGTCTATCTGTTGACCGGCTGCTTTTGGCCTGTGTTGCTTATCAACACAGTGCGCAGTTAGACGGAACTATTTTGTCAGTAGTAGATGATATGGGAAGATGATGTGAAGAGGAACGTGGGAAAGACTTTTTGGGGTTGGCTGATATCATATTCCTGGATTACATTTTCGGAATCAATCACACCTAGGCTCCTATTAAGAATTTCTGTAAGCCGCAACAACATAACTTATGGTTTGTGGGCCCCTTTTTCCCCGATCTATCTACTCCACCGTTCTTCTATTTTCAAGGCAAGCATGGCGTCTGTTTGAGATCCCTTTACGTATTTTCTTTTTCAAATCAATTTACTCAGCTGAACGCATGTAAAGCACAACTCACCAACATGTCCAGTGAGCTCACCGTTCTCCTGGAGCTTACTTCAAAGCTCAAACGGTATTTGACTGAGACTGCACCAGCATGTTTTGGAGTGGAGTCAGGTAAGCTCTGTCGTCGTAGCTCATGCACCTCTACTCACTCTTGGGTGGTCTTTTACCTTAAAGTTTCCACTATTTGTGCTTGTGCGCTCTTTACGTATGTATCGTTTTTTTTCCCTATGCTAGCTAATTAAGCGGGACTATGAACCCTCAAGTTAATTGTTAGTTTGATGGTTTCGACACTTCGTTCCAGTCCCCCAACCACACACGAGACGTAGTGGGTACCTGAGAGAATGGCGTCCGACACACACGATGATTCTGCCTCACTTCTTCTGTCGAGGGCACGTATCACTTTCATCATTATCAAACTCTGTCCCCAACCCACTTGACGCCACCCTCAATTGATTGTGTCTTTACGTTGAACATTAATGAGCATAACACAGCAACTTACACACCGTAGTTTCCTGGTCAAAGTTTCTCTCTTAGGTCAACAGCATAATAGGGATAGCCCGTGTTAAATCCGTTACGCACTGATGTGACGCGTTTGCTTGTCATAGTGTATCAAGTGTCTTGCGCTATTATTTTTCTTAATCATTCTTTTTGCTTTGCCAGAAAGAACGAAAGTCTATCTATTTTCATTTATTTTTCACGGCTCCTCACCTCTGATCATTTCTACTCCATTGTTGTGGGGAGTTCGGTCGGATAGAACAGAGACTATCGCTTAATTTTGAGGCTTAGATTGTCACCTTTACAATGCATTTGACTACAACGCTCACCCTCTGAATGCTTAGAACAAGGTAGGAGCAAAAAGAAGATACCTTGGACTGCGTTTGTGCGTCAGTCAGCTTCTTTCACACCAATCTATCATAGTCATCCATAAATAAGGGTTGGGGATTGTTTCTCTCTCTCAATTTTTATGATCGAGTTTAGGTGCGCGTTCAGAAAAACGCTGGGTCTCCAGTACATCAGAGTGGGGACCTGTTAAGCGATCCAACGGAGGAGATAGAATTAACGTAAACAACCATGATACTTCACAATGCATTCCGCTGACGGTTTTGCTCTTATCCAAATGCAAACCGTCCTTCTATAATAGTAATCTGCTCGTATTGCCTTGATATATGCTACATTATTATTTACTAAGACACAACGGATGCTGCCGTAACCTTGTGCATACCTCCGGTTTCACTTGGAGTAGTGCATGCTGTTTGCCTAAATTCGCTCTGCTTCTTCTCCACTACACCAGTACACAAATCTGACCTTATTTTTGCTACTGTTACTATCAGCCGGCAGTCACCGAGAGTGGTCCTGGTCCCTGGCTTGTACTCCACATATCGGCTGTGTCTTTGCTGCTGATCCTTAGGCTCAAGCGTCTAGCGGTCGGGTTCACTTCTTTGAAGGGTACCAAAAAATGCTCCCCAATGTTGAGCCCTATTAGTGCGAAACGGCCATCTGGTGCTTTTCTGAATCAGAGTCTAAGCTACATAACTTGTGAGCTGCTGGGACGAATCAGAAAACTCATAAAAACCCTCTTACTCATCAGTAATTCTAGTTTGTGTAGGGGTGGGTGCTAGTGGTCGTGATATAGCGTTGCATCCGTACGACGATTGTTTCTGATACCTTGCATCTGTATCATGCTGAGGGAGGTTAACTTTGTTCCCATGTGTTGCGTAGATCTGCAACCGCACGGTTTGTATCGGCGTGGTTCATCGCACGGTTTTATCGAGCTGGCACACTGGATGTTCCATCCGAACTTGACGAATGTTCCACACCACCAGCTCGTCACGTTAATCTACCCCCATGTCCAGACCTTTGATGGGATACACCGTTTATTGTTTATAAAAACTGATCGATATCATCTAAGCCTCACATTTGCATATCCGAGGGTATTTTATGGGACAGCGGCAACCAGAGGACTAATCTAACTACCAGACTAACAGTCGTTCTGGTCACTTACTAGGATCATTTGCAATGCTAAACCATGTTTCTGCGAGCACGCCTATTAGCAACTAAGTACAATAGACTGCCTCGCCATTTCGGGCAGTAGTATTTCCACAAGCACACTTGGGCCGGTACTAAACTTTATGCGGAAAATCAAGGAACATTTGGGGATAGTTAAACCGTAAGTTACTTCTGAATAAACGGTTATGGTTACAAAACGTGAGGCTTTGTTAGTTCGCTAAATGTGAGCCGATATTGGTATGAATTTTGGTGTACTTCTTGCTTGTTGCTCTCGCCTCCCCCCGAAAACTGTGCATTGGGAATCGCGGTCCACATTGAGGTACGTCTTAATACAATCAGACAAAATATACTTCAAAATGACATCTAACTGCAAATTGGTGTAATTCGGCGGCCCGAGAAATTATCTTTGTCTCTAAATTACTCATCCATTGTCAGTAGTATCATTATCATCAGATTCACACTTCCTGCAGTTTACTCGGTACAAACCTGGTTTAGCAACAAACCAGCCGGAAATGTTCCTTCCGGATAGGTCAACAACAATGTTCCACTCAGTAACACCTGGTACAGCCGTAACTCGCCATCGCCACCTTCACGCCGCTACTGTTTCTCATACTTTATTCAATAATTAACCGTCGATGATGATCGCAGGAAATATTTTTTCTGTTTGTAATTTGTCTGTCACTTTTCATTTCAGTTAATGAACTGTGTAATTTGATTCGGCGAAGAACGAAAGCTGTCCTACAGATTTGTCTGGATTCCAGTGGAACTTCTTGACTCGAACCCTACTCAAGACTTCCATTTTCTTTGTTCCTGCCCGAATCCTGTCACTTTTCGGCGTTTTTTGTATTTTCACATGACTGTATATTTGACCTGTATGTTATTTCCATATGTGGGTTTTTCTGTCGTTGCGCTTTTATCACCACCCTCTCTGAGTTATGCTATGCCTCTGTCCTACCAGTGGACTTTCATTCGTCATTGATTAGGTTCGTGAAGGTCACGCGTCCTGCTTTTACGTAGCTCCGATTCATGAAGATTTGCCATTTCGGTCTTACTATCTCCGTTATCCTCCATGCCTATTTTATCACATTGAGGTTTGGCCAAAACCCATTGATATCATTAGCTTCGGTCTTTAACTGATGCTCAAGCTTCAGGGCACTGACTCCACTCGTGCGTGTGATTGGGATACCAAGTCGGATGAAACATTGAAAGGTCCAAATAGGTTGCTTAGAGTTCATCGCTGTCAGGCTCAGTTAAGCGGCCACCACGCATCCGGCGGGGCATTGGATTGTCTTTCTATGGAAATCCCTAGCAGTGCACATTCCCTCGATCTGGTGTGTGAAACTCCAAATTATGGCCGCACTTTTGCAAACCTCTTGCTCACTGCAAATACCGACAGCCGACCGGACTGCGAAATCAATAGCGATATGGCACAGTCCACTACTTACTTAGCCACCTTAACATCTGGTACTTACTGTGATCTACAGACTTTACTTTTGCTTGGAATCACCGTTTCGTTCACCTCACTGGTCCAATGAAATGCCAATTTCTCGAATATTTTGACTCGCATTCCAGCTTTAGGTTTATGGAATCGGTGTTTAATAATTATCGCCTATCAATCAGTACCGCCGGTCCTCTATCAGACTTTCTCCACATCAACCGCTTTGAGTTTACTAGCTCACTTCGAAGTTGGCGTCGGTTGGTGTGTCCCAAGAACGATGAACACGTTCGGTTGGATACACTAGTTGACATGACAAAGAGCCCACTTCATTGATGTTTGTGTTGTGGGTTTCTTTGTCATGCCCAATTAGCTTCTCCCTCAATTACCATCGCATATCAGAAGCATCATATGATCTTAGCCTTATATTACTTGTTTTCCTTTTATTTTTTGTTGTCTACAATGTTTAGTTTCTTATCTTTTTGTATTGCACCCTAATATAAGGTTTGTTTCTCACCGTCAGCTAATGTGTATTGATGATGATTACTGAGTTTACTAGTCACTGGTCGATCTAGTTTATATCAATCTCTATTGCTTCAAAATGGGGTGATACCTGAATAACCGATCTTATGGCCGCATGACGCCTAACTGACTGTTTTGTAAAAGTACAATCTATGCGTCCTATATCGCCACCTGATTACCCATTCCAGCAGCCTGAATTGTCACCATCGCAGTTGAGGTCATAGTCTTCTTTGCAACGTTCTTGTCAAAGTGGGCTACCTTTTGGGACTCAAATCCGCCCTGTACTTGTACCATCTTCGTGCTTCCCACATTTTGGTACAAGTGAGCAACACACACCGGTTCCATAATAATCAGTTATCGGGAATAATCAGTTGTATGCATTTAACCCCTTTAGGACTTGGACCTGCAAATCTATCGTTACCAATATGTGATTAAGACCACTGGGCTACCGTAGACAAGTGCCTTGAAGGAGCATTGCCCGCGCTGGTTGCGTCAAGGAGGAACTGGGGCCATTAGCAGCGCCGTTTTGGCCCATATTGTCGACACGGCGCACCAAGTCGATCTATAGCGTGCCTTCAGGTTAATTTACAGGGTCCCCCAGCATCAATCAAGAGGTTTGCGTCTCCGTGCGCTCGCGATAGCTGAATCGATTTGCATTCGGTTGTTCCAACCTTCATTATACTCGCAAAAGAAGTTGCTCCATGCCTTACAACTTCCCTGGCCAGCTAGAACGAAAGATGCTGAGGTCGATTGCCACAGATCAAGCTCGATAACAAGCAATCGACCTGTCAGTTCAAAGGTCAACTTTTAGCCTCCCTCACTGATCCGTTAATTAACTATGTAATTTGAGCCAATGAGTCGATTTCAGTTCATTATTTGACCCTTAAATATGATTGTAATGGTCTGAAGAGAATCATCGAAAACAATTGTTCACCTATGGTCTCGCATTCATGACGCCTTGAAAAGCACCGTACGGCAGCTTCATTCTTATTGGAAACCGTCAGCAATGCGTATCCCATCTGGCCTCTATGGAGCTAGTACCTGCAGCTTAACCAGTACTGTAGTGACCTGGAGATTCCCCCGTACGACTGTGCAAACTATTCTAAAATATATTAAAATTATGGCTTTCTTATGTATTAGGGAACTAGGCGGTTTGCCTGTTGGAACGTTGTTCCCGTTTGTTGGAAACACGAATACGATCTTGGCCTTTGGCGCGCGACTCGACTGCGATCGACGCTCCGTCAACGCACTCGACGCCAACGACATTCTCCCTAGCTAGCTCTCTTCTGGTGCCCTATTTTTAGCATTAGCTAACTCTCCTCCCGTCCAATAAACTTTTTTCCTAGCTTACTTTTGTGTGTTCTACCCATTGCTTTCGGTTGGGCGTCTAATTTTGTACCGAATATATAGCGCACGATCGTCGCGCTATAGTACCAATCCGTGGTGAAAACCGCTGGGCTAAGGGGGACACTAATGGCCGACGTGACCAAGTTATTCCCTGTGATCTAGACCCGTTCATTAGCCACTGACCTCACTACTTCCGTGTATGGGAGTGGGTAGCTGTACAGTACTTTTTCGGGCGTGTGGTAGCTGTCTGACTGTGTCCACATGTGACGAATTTCCACTTCTACTATTCACTTCTCTCTAGTATTTAGTTTACTGAGTACCTAGCTGACATGTACTTTGGTAATGTTATCATGATCTTGGAATACCCTGATTTTGAGGCGTTGTATTGCAAAAGCTAGAACTGCGTTTTTGAATCTGCGACATCTTTGTCGACAAAATGGGGTCTCCCTCCGTTTGAAAAACCGTGTTTACAAGGCCACAATGAGGGTCGTACTACTCTATACGAGTCAGACTTGACCACTTCGGTCTGAAGATCTGACGCACCTTCAAGTCTTTGGTCATCGCTGTCTGTGGAGCATTGCTGGTGTCGGACAGCACCAGCGTGTTCGCAATGATTATGTGCGTGGGCGAGTGCTATGCAAGGATACCTAAGCTAGCTCCTTAGAACAACAGGTAGCACTGAATAAGTTGCGTTGACTTGGACACGTACTAAATATGCCCGGTAACCGTTTGCCGAGGAGGGCCTTGTTTAGTCTGCCAGATGTAGGGTGGCGCAAAGCTCAAGATGGACAAAACTTGACTTGGCGGTGGGAAATGTGTTAACTAGCGACCAAACTTGGAGCCGTCGGTCCGTCTCGCCTTCCAGGCTGGAGTCCACGTGACTCGCCTTATGCTTGGCTCGAGACTTTACTGGACATGACTCGCAGTCGGTACCAGTGACGCGTCTGCTGCCGTCTCCTAGTCTGACCGCCTATTTAACTTGTGTTTTGTTGCTGAGTTATCTGCGGAGGAACAGCTGATTATGACGCGAGGCAGTGAAAGCCGCAACGAAGCTGTCTCGCCGATGCCGCCTTATCTTTGCACGATAACTAGCTGTTTGTGATGCCATGTTGACAAAGTGTATGCACCTTAACATTGAATGTTTATTTTAGGGCATTAAGATTTTCCGGTAAGTCGCCCTTCTCTTCCTTCTATTATTCTTCGTTCCGTAAGTCATTATGGTTCTGTGACAGCGAAATATCAGTTCAAATGGCTGGTGTGTTGTTATTACTGATGATGAGACGTGTTGAAGGAATATAGGTTGCTTGATAAATCTTTGCGTCCAATCCGCGGTTCACACTCGTGTCAAGTCAACTCAAGCATGTAATTTATTCACCCATTTAGGGTAGATTTTTCGATGGCACACACAGAGATGTAACTACACAAGTAAAGTAGCTCAAAAGAATCGTGGTAAAATCGCTGTCCCCAAAAAGTTTAACAGAGTCGACAGCACTGAAGTACTCCGCTGACCAGTCTTTTGTTGATTAGATTTTGATCAGTCAAAAACGTGACAAACAGGGGACAGCGGACGTATTACATACCCGTGGGTGGTCACATGTTTTTTGCATCTGTCTGGCTGAGGAAATTGAAATACATTTTGGAAATGCTCTGTGAATGGGGTGGCTGGCGTCAGTGATTGTCTTAGGTGCAGATTTTTTGCACGAATTAACTTGGCTGGAAGATGCCTCTGGATATATCACAGTCTGCTGTCTTCCCCTCCCCCCATAACTCAGTTGTATAAGCTGCTGTGTAGTGTTGTAAGCCTCTAGCGTTTGTGGGTTCGATCACCTGCAGGAAACCAAGGGAATGTGCACCACTAAAGAGTTCCAATAGGCCGCAATGGTCGTCTGGTGCTGTCACGGATTGGCAGTTGACCTTTGCGGCTTGTAATCTAATTGCGTTGAACCTAACAGCTCTTGACTAGTCCGTCTACTAGTTGATGACTGAATACATGTTAGCAAGTTCCAGCACTGAAATGCCACTACACCTGGATAGGTGTTTCATTGACCTGAGACTATGAATGATCGCTGGGAATCAGTAGGTCCAACAGGGTAACACACAGTGATAGAAGTTAGCATCAAAAAATGGCGTTCGGAAGCAGACTTGATATGAGTAAAATACAACTGGAGTCTCTTGAATATCTCGCTTGCGTGAGGTGACCACTGCCCAACGCCATTCCGGTAGTTCATTACTACGGAGGAGTTCAACTCTTCGTCGATGCAATGATGTGGGTGTTGCATGAGGATTTGCTGGTAGCAATTACATTTGAACACGTAGAACGTCTGCATTATGTGGTGTTTAACGATAGACACTGGAATTTGGAACAAGCTGTGACTATGGTTTTTTAGTGGACACTCAGTGCATTTTATTTCTTCATGAGCTTCCTGTGGTCAGACAATTACTTGGATGGGTACGCAGACACTGCCACCATATGTCAACTCTCGTTATTTGTCCATTTTCAACGCGTGTTTATCTTAGCGACACCACGAAGACCACCCAACAAGTCGCTTTGTTGTCTTGTGCATTTGGTGCTCATGTCATTTCGTTCGTTTGTACTGTTTTCTTCTGAAGCACTCTATCGCCATCCCGCTGTTACCCAACTCGCCACCTATCTGGACAAAGTCAGCCATTGGATTCGTCCACTATAGTCCTTTTTCGAGCATAGTTCTATCCCGTACATCAGCTAGTATGGAAGGAACCACAGTTCCTCCACTATCCTGTGTACGTTTGAATACTGGTTTGATGCAGCAAAAGAGATCTCTGTGCAGCTGAATCTAAGGTCACTCAGGTACAAAGACTTGTTAGGTTGGAGAATCTTCGAGATATTTCATATCTGTAAACTGTTTGTCCAGGAATTTCTTGAATTCCGACACCGATTTTGTCTCAACCACGTGCTGCGGTAGGTTGTTCCATACATTCACCACTCTCCGTTCGAAACAGAGTTAGTGGGCGACCCGCTCTAAATCCGGTGCTACAAGAGTATACCAGTATTCTGGTGTGCTGCTTTGTGTACCCATATGCATCAGCGGCCTCAACACGCGGTAATCACCAAGATGTTAAATCCAGTGCATCGTGGTACACAATAATAACACTGTCAGCTGTACGCCGTAACGGCTCTTCGCTGCCACGCGATCACCACCAGTCGCGCGCGGGCTGAGTATACCGCGAGGATGCTCACCCCTACGCGGATTCCAACCGGTGACCTTATGGTTGCAAACCAGGCGCGCAGACCACGCGTGACCTGGTCAACTCCTAGTCGATGGTAAGATAGGGTGTAAAGCCCTAATCTCTTACCCTAGTCCTCGTACGGTGCACCTCGTAAAGTGGGGATGAGACTAGTGGCCACATACTGTACCCGCTCAATTCATGCTAGCCCTCCCGGGTGATTGGACAGTATGCAAGTGAGCAATACTCTATCATTGGTCGTATTGTGGAGGCAAAGTGGTGAGTGGCAATCTCATAGGACTAAGTGTTGGAGCTGCCCAAAGCATACGTAGCCCGTTTTGCTAAAACCTATTCGTTTTACCCGCCGACGTTGGGTCGCAACGTGAGAGTACACTGAGTTTTCTCACGAAAGCTGCGATCACGGTGTAGGTTTGACCTTGTTCACCCTTACCCAGCTTCATAAATAGCGACTTTACCGAGTGTTACCTTTCAATCGGCGGTGGATTCAAGCAACACATAAGACTCCCGAACCAATTCAGAATTCAAGGTCAGAAGTGTGCTACGGTGCTATTTTTACATAGGGTTAGAGCAACAAATTATATACTGACCTTGACAATGTCCACCACAAAATCTACGATAGTTCTGTTCTCAACTTAAAACCGGACGTCCAGACAAGACCAAATGCCGGCAACAATTAACTGAAGTCCAACCGGTTACACAGCCGACTAAGCAATTCAGTCAGACGCGATTTAAAGCAAAACGATCAATAGTCCAATCAATCAAGCCATAAAAATGTCAGCTGATGAGAGTCAGGGGCAGCGAAACAAGGGGATTAGGGTTTGGACTTATGGCATGGTTTGGGGGAATCCGACTGACTGTGATTTGTCTGTTACGCTCCCAACGAATTTCTTCCAGGGATTTCTCATTGCTTGACCGTTCTCCCGCTCTAGTTGCCTTGCCCTACTCGTCTCAGTTTTTCTCTCAATTACTTTGTTACCTCATTCACTACCCTCGCGCAAACAAGTTTTCTGTATGTTTCTCCTGTTTGAACCATCCTTTGTTTTTGCAATCAAGATTCTGACCAACTTTAGGCGACTCTCGTTGAAATTGTTTGTAACATCCGTACTCCTTTTATCCGGACGTGGAGCAGTAGTATCGTGCGGATTCCGATGCGTCGGTGATCCGTTGCGCTTGGCTGCTACACCAGCGCTGGGGCGATTGGCACGGACCGACCGATTGGGTGCTCGGTGTACAGTTGTGGGTTGTTTTGCAGAATCGGATGGGATGTGCAGCTTCGGTTTGCGCGACTTGAAGGCGTAATTCACAATTATTGGATCCTTGCTGATTAATGAATGATTCAAAGGCATCAACCTTTGAGGCGAACTTCGCTTTGCAAGCATAACGTGCAAATTCGCCTCCAGATTCATCGAAACGCAGCGAAATCGCTTTGGGCAAAATTTGTTTACAGAAAAGTAGGGAGAGTTAAATGGTATAGGTAGCAATTCGTCACATCTAGACTCACTCAGACAGCCGCCACACGCCCGGAAAAGCACTGTACGCGCGTTTCATCCTTTCGGGAATCATCAGCAGTGCGCATTCCATCGGACCCTTGGTAGGGCTCGAACCCGCAACTCGACTGTTGCCAGTCCGTGGTTGAGACCACTGAGCTACGGGGACGGCAACGACCATCGTGAATAAGTTACTAGGTGTGATATAGCGCCGCTCACTATCCACTGACTTACACGTTACTACCGTGCAGAGGACAGAGTAGCCCCCTCACCAAGCGACGAGCTTACCAAACTTAAGCTGCCAATTGACTTATGGCATTATAAGCAGTTTGGTCTGCGTACTGATTACAGAAGAGTAGTAGAGGGAGTTGAATGGTATAGGTAGAAATTCGTCACATCTTGTGTCGCACTACATGGGATGCAATAAATGTGGAGTCTAATCAGCTTGAATTTTTGCAGCTGTAGCTGATCAGGGTTGGGCCATGATTTGGCATTCGCAGAGACCTCGGTCGCATTGTGCGATGCGCGTTCTGAACAGAGTTGCGCAACTATAGGTCTGTCTGAAATCAGCTTGCCATTCACAGACTAGTGTTTATCGTGTGGACTTTTCGGTCTTGAATACGATAAAAGCACTTTTGCGTCCTTTGTCGAATTTCTTGGGATGCACATTAGCGTTAACTGGTGGGACACAACGATCGCAAATGGGAGGCTAATGTAATGCTCAGCAGCTTTCGCACATAGAGTGCGTACATTCAGAGTGGCAATGCGTTGGCGAATCACGTCGAGAAGCCTAACTTGCTGTTGTGGATCATCCAGCACGGGGGCACTTTCTGTGACTGAACTTTTCTATCTTCAGGCGATTTCTTGGGCTTCGTAGGCTGCGAATTAAACGATTCGGGTGATTGAACAGGCGATTGCTTGTCCTTTTCTAGGAAGCGCTTCAATTTACCCACACCTTGGTTGAATTCGGCGTCCCGTCGCCAGCCGCCCTTTGTGTTCTCTCTGCTCCCACATAAAGAGAGCTAAGACTCAAGTTGTGACGTCCGCTTTCCGTAAGAGGACGTGAGGCAACCTCCTGAGTGCGTGCTTGCTTCAGTTTCGTAGACAATATTCGGAACTTCAGGTAATTGAAGAGGCGACTGATGATCTTCCTCGCGTAGACGTTTCAATTTACCCACATCCTTCTTGACTGAGTTGGTCAATTTGGGAGTCCCGTCGTCTGTTGTCTTATGTGTCTTGTCCGTTCCCTCGGAAAGATGGTTATGTTTCAGACTGTGACGTCGATTTTCAGCAGATGTGGTAGACATAAATGCAGACCGTGTTTCCTTCGTCATTCTCAAAACAGATTTATCGTCGCATAGATCAGTTAACAACTGACCACGTTTATAGGAACACGGTGTCCTTCCCAGCATTAAGGGACTATAACGCTCCACTTCCGCCTCAACCAACAACTGTTTTTTCTTCCATTCTGCTAGTTTCGAGGCGTCGGAGTCCATACTAACGTTGATACTGTCCCTAGTCCCACTACTAACCTGCAAACTAGAGGGGGAATTAAGATCGTCTGCGATAACAAAAACGGTTTCAACTTGCCGATTTACATCTAACTTTCAAGCGTTCTTCCGTGCTGACCTTGTTGACGGCATTATCCAAGATCCGAATATAGAACATGTAATCCTGAATTGTCAAGCACTGTTACCGTTAAATCGACGGTGGATTCAAGCAACACGTAAGACTCCCGGATCAATTCAGAATTCAAGGCCAGAAGTGCACTGCGGTGCCATTTTTACTAAGGGTGAGGGCACCAAATCCTCTGCTGACCTTGATAATGTCCACCACAAACTGTACAATAGTTCCGTTCTCATATTAAACCGAACGTCCAGACAAGACCAAATGCCGGCAACAATTAACTGAAGTCCAACCGGTTACACAGCCGACTAAGCAATTCAGTTAGACAGGATTTAAAGCAAAACGATCAATAGTCCAAGCAATCGACCTCTGCAGACCATATGCAGAGGCGGTAAGGTCCCGCTAAAGCAAGTCACAGTCATCGGGTGCGCTGCTTTCTCTTCACACCTGCAAGTGACGCAGTCAGCGCACAAGGCGTACGAAAAAGCTGAGGCACATCATTGGTATGGATCTGGATCCAAACGGCGCGCTAGTGCTCGAGGGATACCAGTCGGTCAACCTGGACCCTCCACTTTCGGTTAACAAGGAAATTCTTGATGCGCCGATAGAGCGAGCTGCCAGGACCGCAGATCCTCAGTTTGTGGAGGAAGACCTCATGTTTCACTTTGTCAATAGCCTTACTTAAATCAATGTAAATGATGTTGACTGACTGCGTGATTCAGCGCGTGCAGCCCTTCGTGTCTCGTCTATAGCAGGTTCCTGATGCATGAGCGACCTATCACAAAACCATGCTATGCAGCTGTCAAGAGGCTTTTCGACTCGAGAAGCGGCAGAAGACCCTTCACGATCTTCTCAAGAGTCTTTGCCAAAACAGCGATCAGGCAGATGGGCCGGGAGTTTTCCACTTTACTTTAGTCACCACCTCCCAGGACTCCCAATCCGCTTTTTTTTTCTCCGGTGTCGTCTCAAATGCACTGTATGGCTTCTGAACGTATACCCTCCAACGTTTACTTCATATGACCTGACACAGACCCTCGCAGTCACCACACCTTTCTTCCACCGCTCTTGACTATCGGGTACTGGTTGAATCCACACTTCCTCCCCCACTGTTAGCTTAGGTAATACCCGTGCACCGCGGTCGTAGTACCGTTTCTGGGTGGTCATTCGTCTTCTCAGATTGTTCTGTAATCACTCGTGCTGTGGCGAAACTGGACGCAAAAGTGTGGCAGATACCGGTATCAGAGTTCTAGTCTTTCGGCTGTATAGGCGCTGCAATGGGCTCAAAGTGATATTCGTTGAAGGATTGTTGCGATTCTTCAGTAGCATAAGGTACGGGTCTTCGCCAGTTTCTTTAGCCTTTGATAGCAGTCGCTTGGCCTGCTTCACTGCCGACTCCGCCTTTCCATTCGATTGATTGTGATATGGGATGGTTTGCTGGTGCACGAATTCCCACTTGGTTGCAAAGCCCTGGAACTCACCGCTGACAAACCACGGCCTATTGTCGGCGACTAGCTGCTCCGGTCTACCGTGCCCCACGAACTGACATCTGAGCTTGTTGAATACCGCCTCTGTAGTCATACTACTGAGTAGATCGATTTCAAAAGAGTCACTGTAGTAGTAATCCACCGTTATCACTGAATAAATCCACTGCCACCTTTTGCCACGGTC